CTTTCAGTGGTATTTACAGTAACTGTACACTTAGCCGGCCCGTCGCTTCTCCGACAAGCCCTTACCTCTCGGCACACGGCCGCTATCTGCCCTTCGTCCATGCAGGTCTCCGTCACCACGTCTGTCAGAGAGCCGCCGGCCAAATACTCCATGACGACCCACAGCTCATCCCCCACGAGGTAACTGCAGAAAGCCGGAGAAACAACAGAAGGTGAACTGTGAGTTTCTTCAGCCAAACATACTCTACTGCCAAATCCGAGAGTGGAGATATTTTTAAGAATGAGCCAGCTGGGAGCATCAATAGCCGGTGTGCGTTAGTGGGACAGGGTCGGATTTGGGGAACCCGGAATTCAGATTCCTGGTCAACCAAGGACAGCATGTTGTCAAAGGCTTCCACGGCCGGAGTTCATTGGCTGTTGTAGATTTTCCGGGTTGTGTGGCCGTGGTCTTGGCATTGCAGGACCAGACGTTTTGCCAGTAGCTGTGACTGGCATCCTCAGAGGTATAACACAGAAAGATGGAGTACTCTCTGTGTCAAGGTGAGACGAAAATGATTGGCAGGTAATTTATATCTACTCAGGAAGGTGGGGTAGGGCTGAGTCATTATCATTCCCCAGGCTGTGAACATGCCAATGGAGGAGCTTTCCTGATGAGGTTCTTTTGTATTTGGATTGTTTCCTGAGGAGGTTCCCTGTTTCCTGCGGAGGTTCTTTTGTATGTGGATTGGCTGTTGAAATTCTAATCTTATCTGTACTGCTATTGTCAGAGGTAGAGCCTTTTGTGTTTTTCAGGACAGGAAACCATGCCCTATTTATTTATTTTTAAACTCTCTTCTTTCCTGTTGAAATCGTGTTTATGAATTTCAATGGCTTCCCTATGTAATCTGACATGGTAATTGGATGTGTTGTCCGGCCTTTTGGAGTCTTGGAATAAGATACTGTGTCCTGTTTGAGTTGGGCTATGTTCAGCCACAGCTGATTTTTCAGGTTGGCCAAGTCTGCAGTTTCTTTCATGTTCTTTTATTCTTGTCTGAATGCTATGCTGTGTGGTCCAGGTGTAAACCTGTCCACAAGTGCATGGTATGCAGTATACTCCTGCAGAAGCAAGGGGGTCTTCTTCTGTCTTATGCCGATCGTAGCATCTGTTGTATTTTTCTGGTGGGTCTGAATACTGTTTGTAGGTTGTGTTTTTTCATACGTTTTCCCATCTGATCAGTGATTCCTTTGATATATGGACGGCCTTTGGGAAAAATGATGGCCACACCAGTAGGCAGGAAAGACAAAAAAAAGAACAAGATGCAAGGTAGAAAGCTTATCTACGCATTTGGCTATGAGCTTTGTCAGGGGATCTTTTACAGAGATTTTTCAGCTCCCGTTTAGAAGACCCCCTGATGAAGTTCATAGCAAAACGTGTAGGAAAAGGGATCCATTAGAGCCAAACAAACTTTCTACCTTGCACCTTGTTTTTTTTCGTCTTTCCTGCCTCCTGGCGTGGCCTTCATTTTTCCTGAAGGCTGTCCTTGGTCGACCAGGAACTTGAATTCCGGGTTCCGCAAATCCTCAGTGACTCCCGAAAGCTCCTTGTTAGTCTTTAAGGTGCTACTTGACTCGGAGTGATTAACACATGGAATTCTCTGCCACAGGAGGTGGTGGCGGCTACAAGCACGAACAGCTTCAAGAGGGAATTAGATAAGTATATGGAGCAGAGATCCATTGGTGGCTCTTAGCCACAAGGTATAGATAGGAACTCTCGGTCTGGAGCAAGGGATGCTCTGTATTCTTGGTGTTTTTGGGGGGGGGCAACAGTGGGAGGGCAACAGTGGGAGGGCTTCTAATGTCCTGGCCCCACTGCTGGACCTCCTGAGGGCACCTGGTCTTTTTGGCCACTGTGTGACAGAGTGTTGGGCTGGATGGGCCATTGGCCTGATCCAACATTGGCTTATCTTATGTTCTTATGCTCTTTCCTACTGCTACAGACAGACGAACACGGCTCCCCGTCTTGATCTATCTCCACTGGGGAGAAACGAGGGGTACAAGTGAAGTAAAATACAAATGAATAAATAAATGTTGAGAATGGATCGTACCACTAAGGAAGACTGCTTGATGCTTTGGGGAGGGGCTCTGGTCAGTGATAAGAGCATCTGCTTGGCATGCAGAGGGTCCCAGGTTCAATCCCCGGCATCTCCAGTTAGAAAGGACCAGGTGGGAGGTGATGGGAAAGAACTCCACCTGAGACCCTGGAGAGCTGCTGCTAGTCTGAGTAGACAATCCGGACCTTGATGAACCGATGGTCTGATTCAGTAGAAGGCAGCTTCGTCTGTCTCACAACAACACTGTGAGATAGAGTAAGCGGAGAGAAAATGACCAGCTTAAGTGCCAGACATTTCGTTTCATGGCCATCTACCGTAACAGAATCCTTCTGCACTATTTCTGCATTCCGACTGTTTCTGCATTCCAGAAGGCAGAAATACCCCACGGGTACTGGCCACGAAAGCCACGAATGGGAGGCCAGGTACGTGGCTATTTTTCCGGATGTTACCCTTGGGGCAGGGGGAGGAGGGTAGGAGAAGATTGGGTTTATCTCCCGCCCTCCACTACCCAAAGGAGTCTTGGAGCGGCTTCCCTTCTCCTCCCCTGGGACACCTTGTGAGGCAGGTGGAGCTGAGGGAGCTCTTTCAAGAACTGCTCTTTCCAGAGCAGCTCTGAGAGAACTTGTGACTGACCCAAGGTCACACCAGCAGCTGCATGTGGAGGAGTCGGGCATCAGACCCAGTTCTCCCAGATTAGAGCACACACTCCTAAACACTACACCAAACTGGCTCTCTGGGGTTGATCTGAGGTGGCCTTGGGACCCATTACCGTCGCTAAGAACAAGAGGAAATTGTTTCACGGACAACCAAAGGGGGGGGGGGGGACACTTGAATCTTGAGAATCAGAGCACGGCTAATTTTTCCCTGTGAGCATGGCTGAATTGGCACCAGAGTGGAATCGATGGGGCTTCTCCTGTCCCCGCGGGAGGGAGAAAGCAAATGTTCAGAACAGCTTGCCTCCTTCCTCACTGGAGGAAGAAAATCGCCAAAGCAGCATGTCTTGAAGAGGGGCGAAGGAAGGAGGTCTTCCGACGGTCCTGAACGCGCACAGAGTGACGCGTCCAACTCCTTATGGTTATCGCAAACATTTGCACTAGCTTTTTAAAAAAAATTGTGGGGGGGGTTAGAGCGGGGTAGTAAGCTGAAATAATAATAATAATAATAATAATAATAATAATAATAATAATAATAATAATAATAATAATGGGGGAAAGCTAAGCATCCTGAGATGAGCATCCAAAGCATCAGAATTCATTTTGTAAGCATAGTGTAAGATTAAATGCAAAGGCCACAACTGGTACCCCACCTGGAGGTTGGCAACTCTAGTTACCCTGGAGGAAATGGCTGCTTTGGAGAGTGGAATCTGGGACATTATACTCCTCTAAGTTGGCATTATACCCTGGCACCAACTTTTCTCGTGCCCACCATGTGTTTTTAGAAAGTGGGCGGAGCTCTTACCCAGCAGGGCTTATGATTGACACTCCAGATCTGATCAGATATGCAGCTTAAAATAACATTGTTTCAGACACAGCAGCCACCACAGTGTATGACTGTGAGAGCCAGTTTTGGTGTAGTGGTTAGGGGCGCGGACTCTAATCTGGGAGAACCGGGTTTGAGTCCCCACTCCTCCGCATGCAGCTGCCGGTGTGACCTTGGGTCAGTCACAAGCTCTCTCAGAGCTGTTCTCTCAGGAGAAGTCTTCGAAAGAGCTCTCTCAGCCCCACCTACCTCACAGGGTGTCTGTTGTGGGGAGGGGAAGGGAGAGGAGACTGTAAGCCGCTCTGAGACTCCTCCGGGTAGTGAAGGGTGGGATATAAACCGCACTGAGACTCCTCCGGGTAGTGAAGGGTGGGGTATATATCCAATCTCTTCTTCTTTATTTTATTTTTCACCCCCGTTTCCCATGGTATTTTGTATTACCTCTCTGAATTTGGACTTCCTCTGTGTGTAGCCCCGCCTCCTGAGGCAGCCATTTTGTGGGTGCGCTTCCCCCCCTAGTCAGAATTCCAAAGACGCCCACAGGCTCAAAAAGGTTGGGGACCCCTGGTTTGAAGCGCTGGACCCAGGTCAGAATCCCCATTTTGCTATGGGTGTTCACAGGTTGACCTCGAGCCGATCATGCGCTCTCACGGCCCCAACCTACCTCACAGGGCAGCTCTCTGAGGATAAAAAAGAGGCGGGGAGAATGACACTGTTAACCACTTTGTGTCCACACTGTGGAGAAGAGCGGGGCATAACTATACAAATAAACAGAACAAAAATAAAAGCGAATTACTAGTAAGGGAAGTGAATAAACAGTCCTCGAGGCGGCCGAGATGAGAGCAAAACCCCATGGGCAATATTTGGTGAGCTCCCACAAGTTGGGGAAACGGCAGAGAGAGGAGAGGCTAGGCAGGCGTCGCGGCAGACGGCCGAAGCGACCCCTCTCTAGGAGTGCGGGAAGCGCAATTATGCAAAACAAGCGAATCTAGACTTCATGCACTCAATTCAACTGGGGTGGCTAAGGTATTAGTTGCCGCGGAGGCCACAGTAGCCATGTTTGCCCAAGAGATGCCGTCAGTTTCGCAAAATGGATGCCACCAGGTTCCCATAGGAACCTGCCCATGAATGGACGGAATGGAGCGGGTGCAGAGGAGAGCGACGAGGATGATTGGGGGGCCTGGAGACCGAGAAAACATCCAAAGACAACCCCCCTATCCAATGATACTGGCTCTACCCCAGACCATGATCCCACACGTGAATCTCCCTCTCGGTAGCTACGGCACGCACCTGTCCAGATAGTTGACAATGTTGGGGTTCTTGTTTTCCCTCATGACCAGGATTTCGTTAATGATCAGCTCTTTCTTTGGCTGCTGCTGCAAGTTCATCTGTTTGATGGCAACCTGGAATTAAAAATCGGGGGGAGGGAAAAAGAGAGGGAATCACACCTCTTAATTGAGTGGATCAACTATTTGCCCAAGAACAAGGAGTCCAGCGGCACCTTTGAGTCCAACAAAGTTTTATTCAAGGTGTGAGCTTTCATCCGCATGCACACGCCGTCAGACAATGACTTCCAGGAAATCCTGTCTGTGGTAGGGGGTAGCTCTAGGAATCGCTGGAAACTCTGTGGGAAAGCCACAGAGCGTCCGCCGATTCCCAGAACTACCGGACGTCACTTCCAGGTTTCCCCTCGAGAGAACAGCTCTGAGAGAACTTGTGACTGACCCAAGGTCACACCAGCAGCCGCATGTGGAGGCGTGGGGAATCAAACCCGGTTCTCCCAGATTAGAGTCCGCGCTCCTGAGCACCACGCCAAATAACGTCCAGCTGCCCTTCTAAGTGTCTTAAGGCAGGCAAGGCGCATATAAAAACGGGCAGGAAAACAACCATTTTCGTAACAAGATTTGAAAAAGTTCACACAACTTTGTATGTACGCTCACGCACAAGAGAAATCACTGGAGAGTTTTTTCCCCCCTTAAGAGAAAACAGCTCTCCGCTGCCAAGGCAGACGGTTTTGAAGTAGAACACTGGATCGATTTACCCAAAAGCTTTTTTGGGGGGGGAAGGGTTTTCTGAGGAAATCCAACCGAGTTACATTACTTTGGAACAGCGCCCAGTTTCCAAGGGAAGCCGTGAGTCGGCGGATTTGTGCCGAGTCATTCCTCCCCTGCAAACACGTTCAGCATCAGGGCTTGTAACCCATGGAGAATGTCCCAGATACACCTGAAAGAACTGCATTTGGAAGAGTTTGTTTTGCCATTGGGGGGGGGGGGGCAGCTCCCAGCAGACATTTAAGAAGCAGACGCCTCCAAGGACTCACCTCCTGCCCTGTAGCCACATCCATCGCTGTATAAACGGTGCCCGAAGCTCTAAACAAAAGGGGGAGAGAGGGAGATGGGGAAATGGTCAATATAGCAGCCAAGGCAGAAAACCTTGAATGTTATGCTCAAAGCTTACTAGCAGGAAGTCTGCAGCAAACATGTTATGAGCCTACCAACAGTTACTCCTTGGTATAAGAACATCAGAAGAGCCCTGCTGAATCAGAGCAGTGGTCCCTTTAGTCCAGCATCCTGTCTCACACAGTGGCCAACCAGTTCCTCTGAATGATAACAGGGCAGAGAGGCCGAGGCCTTCCCCTGATAAGAACCTCAGAAGAGCCCTGCTGGGTCAGACGAGTGAGGGTCCATCTAGTCCAGCCTCCTGTCTCACACAGGGGCCAACCAGTTCCTCTGGAAGGCCATCAACAGGGCATAGAGGCCGAGGCCTTCCCCTGATAAGAACCTCAGAAGAGCCCTGCTGGGTCAGACCAGTGAGGGTCCAACTAGTCCAGCCTCCTGTCTCACACAGGGGCCAACCAGTTCCTCTGGAAGGCCATCAACAGGGCATAGAGGCCGAGGCCTTCCCCTGATAAGAACCTCAGAAGAGCCCTGCTGGGTCAGACCAGTGAGGGTCCATCTAGTCCAGCCTCCTGTCTCACACAGGGGCCAACCAGTTCCTCTGGAAGGCCATCAACAGGGCATAGAGGCCGAGGCCTTCCCCTGATAAGAACCTCAGAAGAGCCCTGCTGGGTCAGACCAGTGAGGGTCCAACTAGTCCAGCCTCCTGTCTCACACAGGGGCCAACCAGTTCCTCTGGAAGGCCATCAACAGGGCATAGAGGCCGAGGCCTTCCCCTGATAAGAACCTCAGAAGAGCCCTGCTGGGTCAGACCAGTGAGGGTCCATCTAGTCCAGCCTCCTGTCTCACACAGGGGCCAACCAGTTCCTCTGGAAGGCCATCAACAGGGCATAGAGGCCGAGGCCTTCCCCTGATAAGAACCTCAGAAGAGCCCTGCTGGGTCAGACCAGTGGTCCATCTAGTCCAGCATCCCGTCTCACACAGGGGCCAAACAGTTCCTCTGGAAGGCCATCAACAGGGCATAGAGGCCGAGGCCTTCCCCTGATAAGAACCTAACAAGAGCCCTGCTGGATCAGCCCAGTGGTCCATCTAGTTCAGCCTCCTCTCTCACCCAGGGGCCAGCCAGTTCCTCTGGAAAGCCAACAACAGGGCAGAGAGTCTGAGGCCTTCCCCTTATAAGAACCTCAGAAGAGCCCTGCTGGGTCAGACCAGTGAGGGTCCATCTAGTCCAGCATCCTGTCTCACACAGGGGCCAGCCAGTTCCTCTCTAGGGCCAAGAACAGGGCAGAGAGGCCGAGGCCTTCCCCTGATAAGAACCTAAGAAGGGCCCTGCTGGATCAGGCCAGTGAGGGTCCCTCTAGTCCAGCCTCCTGTCTCACACAGGGGCCAGTCAGTTCCTCTGGAGGGCCAACAACAGGGCATAGAGGCCGAGGCCTTCCCCTGATAAGAACCTCAGAAGAGCCCTGCTGGGTCAGGCCAGTGAAGGTCCATCTAGTCCAGCATCCCGTCTCACACAGGGGCCAGCCAGTTCCTCTTGAGGGCCATCAACAGGGCAGAGAGGCTGAGGCCTTCCCCTGATGTTGCCTTCCCCCCCCCCAAAAAAAAAACCCTTTTCACCTTAACAGTTTGATGTAGCTTGAGTTTCAGCATTTCTAACCTTCTCTGGATGGAGCCCTGATATTGGCTGACACTTGACACAGGCAAATCTTCGTTTCCTTTGATGGTTTATTATGTTACATTTGCCTCTGGCTGTGGTTCAACCTTTCAGCACCCTGTGGGTTTGTTTGTGGGTAGGCCGACTTACTGGAATGGTTGGCCACATGACAAAGCAGCCCCTCGGAACCCACACGCTGTCTGTCTTCATGACCCAAGAGCCAAGGAGTCTGTGCAAACTCCCAGCGATCTAAAACACCACCACTGACTTAGGCTATGGAGGATGCTACAGTCCAGAGGTACCAAAAGGTTTTTAAAAAACACCCAAAATGAACTCATTTAAAAGCTAAGTGTAAATGTAAAAGGAAAAAAGGAATACTTCCTCATACCCTCGTTCAGATTTGGTTGATGGTCTCCTGCATAAGCAAAATATTGGAGAAGGGTTGCGGCACACGTATGAAGTCCACGGGGAGGCCCTGGTGTGGCCAATAAAAGGTGGCATGGCTGGAGAATACCTTTAACCAGCAATCTTTCAGGACAGCTGCCAGTTGGAGTAGACAATACGGAGCTCGACCGACCAGTGGGTTGACTCGGTAAAAAGGTGTGCCGCAGAGACACCACCAGGCATATGCTGGGAAAGAGGACAAGGTGGTGCCCAAACTGGGAATGGAAGGGGGCAGTACCGCTCTCCACAGCTGGTGGCCATTACCAAAGAGGCCTGCTGGGGCAAACCTCTCAACATCTGGCTGGCTAGGGCCAGCCATAGTATTGGCACAAGGTGAAAACCGAGGGGAGCGCAGGAGGCACATCCTTTTCTGCAGGGGTCATTTCGTAGAAAAAAGAGGTGCAGGAGCTCATTAGCATAGCTTGTTTGCATATGCCACACCCCCTGACATCACCGGAAGTGTGTCAGAAGGCAACACCCACCGCTCGGGCTCCACTGGACTGTTTTGGATTGCTAGCTATTGGGGGGGGGGACGTTGCAGATCTGTCCTTGCAGAGGAGGGAGAGCCTGTACCTGAATAAAACGTGGTCTTAAAGGCTCCACTGGACTGTTTTGGATTGCTAGCTATTGGGGGGGGGGACGTTGCAGATCTGTCCTTGCAGAGGAGGGAGAGCCTGTACCTGAATAAAACGTGGTCTTAAAGGCTCCACTGGACTGTTTTGGATTGCTAGCTATTGGGGGGGGGGGAACGGGCAGATCTGTCCTTGCAGAGGAGGGAGAGCTTGTACCTCTATAAGACTTGGTCTTAGGAGCAGGGGGCAGGGCTTGTGGCATGTGACATGTGCCCACCCCCTGGGCTCTTTCCTGCCGGAGCTCCGCTCCTGTGCGCTCCTGCAGGAAATGACCCCTGCTTTTGTGGCTCAGATGTCCAATCCAAACCCAAGGGAAATCTGGGGACACCGCGGTCACCTGCGGCAGGCATCAGGAAATCCTGCAAACCTGTATTCCTGAGCACTGAAAGGGGGATCTCGAGCTGCATTCCTTCAGGGGGGGGGAAAATCAGTGCAACCATCTCCATGCAGGTATTGCACAGAGAACATTGACGGTTAACCGTCAACGTGTTTAAAACGCTGGAACAAGTGTCTTCCCAAAATACAGAAAGCTGATAAAGGGAAATGGGAGCACCAAGGGGGCAGGGTAAAAAAGTCTGTAATTCTGGGAGAGGCCCGGGCTTTCCAAACAAGGTGCTCTGTTCCCGCACAGAGCTATATTTAGGCATTCAATCATGGAAGGATGCGTACTCTTAAATTAAAACTAGCGAAGCCCCAACCGTGTGCGCCCAGGCAGTCACTGAGTCAAGAGCCGAGGAGGAGAATTCGATCACAGAACGGCTTGGCGTGACTTGAGCCAAGGAGAAAGAATATTCCTAGCAATACAAAGTCAGGTCTGTTTCCTGTTTCGCTAAAGGAGGTAGCGGAGGGATTTGGGAACCGATCCACTCACCCTTGTCCGATCTTTTCGAAGCTTGTGTATTTCTTCTTGGGGTCACCCACGCTCACGATGCCTCCTTAAAACAAATTGGCGGGGGAGCAGAGAGCAAAGACCGACATGAACATTCCGTGTCACTGAGGCAACAGACAGCTTAGATCAGTGGTGGCGAACCTATGGCACACGTGCCAGAGGTGGCACTCAGAGCCCTCTCTGCGGGCACGCATGCCATCGCCCCAGCCAGGCCCAGACCATCATTAAAGTGTCGAATTCTCTGCCAAATAATGTTAAGTAAATGAAAGCATTTGGGATTGCTTTCCTTACTTTGTTTGGATCATCTTAAGTTAGTGTATGAGTTGTTTTTTCTAAAGTAGAACCTCAGTATTTAGGTTAAATTGCCGTGTTGGCACTTTGCGATAAATAAGTGGGTTTTGGGTCGCAGTTTGGGCACTCGGTCTCTAAAAGGTTCGCCATCACTGGCTTAGATCTTCTATAACTTTCAAAATAAAATCAAGGTGGTCAGCCGTGTCGGTCTGAAGCAACAGAACAAAGTTAGAGTCCAGCGGCACCTTTAAGACCAACAAAGTTTTGTTCAAGATCTGAGCTTTCGTCTGCAAGGCACACTTCACAGAATCATAGAATGTTAAGAGTTGGAAGGGACCATAGAGGTCATCTAGTCCAACCCCCTGCACTCTGCAGGAACACAGCCGAAAGATAGCCCTACGACATCTGTGAGCCAGCTCGCACTAACTCAGCTTAGAGGGAACATTGACCCCCCAAGGTGTACCATGTAATTTTTTGGGAGAATGTCGTTTCACAAAACTTTGTTGGTCTTAAAGGCGCTGCTGGGCGCCAACTTTATTTTGAAAGATGTGAGCTTCCGTGTGCACGCACACTTCATCAGACATTGAACTGGAAAGCCATCTATATATACAACTATGAGCTGTAATTCCATTTCAAAGTCTGATGAAGTGGGCGTGCACACAAAAGCTCACATCCAGAGGTTGACTGCCTCTGGATACGGAGGTTCACTTGAATCCCCGTGCCTAGTAGCCACTGATAGACCTCTCCTCCATGGATCTGTCTAATGCACTAAGATCCTTTGCAGTTTACCTCCAAGATTCACGAGGAAAGCAGGCGCCAGGGAGGAAAAAAAAAAACCCAGGAGTGGGTGAGTGGGCATCACGGTGGTGAACCGGCACGCTAGGCCAAGCTTTTACAAGCAGCGTCAGCTGGTTTCCCAGAAAGTGGCTGGATCAGAGACGTACAGGGGAGACCCAAAAGACTCCATCTCACTCTCCAGCATCTCAGAGTTGACACTCTAAAGCAACAAGGCTCTGGCTCTCGGCGTGTACACGATTAATATTTCAACTAATTAATACAGCTCACGGATCCCTGTGTGCTAGCTAGCTGCTGGCTTCATTTCTTATCCATGAATTAATAATACTATTTGGAGAAGAGGAACCATTATGGATTCAGTTTGGCTTCCCATTACAGGAATCCGGCATCAGCCCCGCAAGGGAGACACAACACATTCGGGCATGATCGATGGAGGTGCTGAAAGTGGTGGCGCGTCTACGGCAGCCGAAGCTGGTTCCGCACAGACAATTTGATCCACCTTTGCTCCCTGGGCTGTTGTTAAGAGCAGCCCGATGACCTCATCTTCCAATCGCCCACTTTCCAGGTTTTCCCCATCCTCAGCTCTCTCTCTCTCTCTCTCTCTCTCTCTCTCTCCTTCTCTCTCTCTCTCTGCCTCTCTCCGTCAAATAGGGTTGCCCAGGGGTCATTTCGAAGAAAAAGAGGTGCAGGAGCTCATTAGCACAACTCATTAGCATAACTTATTTGCATATGCCACACCCCCTGACATCACCGGAAGTGAGTCAGAAGGCAACACCCACCGCTCAAACTCCACTGGACTGAATCGGTACCCCCCCTCCAAATCAAACTGCATCCAATTTTATCTATCCCCCCCATCCCAACCAAAAGGAAGGGGAAAAGAAAGAAGCCAAAACTCTCACGACAAGTAAAATCTGTTTTGGATTGCTAGCTATGGGAGGGGGGAAGGGCAGATCTGTCCTAGCAGAGGAGGGAGAGCTTGTACCTGAACAAAACTTGGCCTTAAAGGTGCCACTGGACTGTTTTGGACCGGGGGGGGGCTCTGCAATTTACCTGGCTGCTTCTTGCTCTGACTGAGGGCTGCTGGGAGCAGGGGGCGGGGCTTGTTGCATGTGCCCGCCCCCTGGGCTCTTTACTGCCGGAGCTCCGCTCCTGTGCGCTCCTGTAGGAAATGACCCCTGCTTGTGATACAAGGATAGACTCACATTCTAGCTGTATTCTAGCAACCGCTGCAGCACAAAGATCTCCACTGCATGACTGAAGTCATGCCTGGGTAATCATTTCATAGCCGGCTCTGCCGCCTGCAGCAGCCGTTTTGTGGCGGCCGTTTTGTGGCTGTGCCCCACCACGCTGCGTCGGAATTCCAGTGGTGCCTGCAGCCGAGCCCTGCCCTTCGTGAAGCCTGCAGGTGGATTTTAGACACATCCCAGGAGGCCAGGGATTTGCAGCTACCTTCTTTGAAACACAAGCTGAGATACCGTGAGCATCTCTCTGTCATTCTGCCCCACCATTAAAATTCAATCTCACACATCCCAAAGTTGAGAGGGAAAAAAACCTGCTTTCAGGGTGGCTTTGGCATCAGCACCTAGAAGCAGATAAAATATTACTTAGCCCACAACCTAAGTCACTTTGAGAATTGGCAGAAAAGGAGTGGTGGCGGGGGAGAGAGATACATTCCTTTCAGATGGTGGCAAGTGCAAAAACTGGCACTCTGGGGCTGGCCACCAAGGAACACATACCACCCAGGCAGGAGGTGAAAACTGGAAGAAATGTTGTGCCCAGGGCTGCCAGACCCCCTGATGGAGGGGGGGGTGTCCCCCGCTGCCAGGCTCCACCTGCCCACCAGCGATCAATTAGCTGGTGGGGGGTGGACTTACCCCCAAAAAGAGAGCGAAATGCAGTGACCTGTACCCAGAAGTAACGTCATCACGTCTGGGTCGTTGACCTGAAGTGATGTGACCCGGAAGTGGCACCCACATGACCCAGAAGTGACATCATCACATCCGGGTCATCAGGGTGACACTCTGGTATTTGGGCAAAAACTCTATGGTAGAAGCCGAATTTACCATAGAGCTTTTGCCCAAATACCAGAGTGTCACCCTGATGACCCGGATGTGATGATGTCACTTCTGGGTCATGTGGGCGCCACTTCCGGGTCACATCACTTCAGGTCAAAAACTCTATGGTAGAAGCCAAATTTACCATAGAGTTTTTGCCCAAATACTAGAGCTTCACCCCAATGTTCCAGAAGTGATGACATCACTTCCGGGTCATGTGGACAGTGACATAAGACACTTTGCACATCAGATGGGCCTCCCTGCTTCTCCCAGTAAGTCCCCTCCCCTCCCCTGCTGATTGGCGGGAGGAATCTGGCGACCCTAGTTGTCCCTTCTGCAACCGCAATTCTGAACTCCGTGGCATTTGCAACGTGGAAGCTGAGCAGCTTCCTTCCAAAGACGCGTTTTAGCAAGAGAGACCTACTGAGCTTTTCCAAGATCTCTTCATCCGTCATTTTGGGTTTCTTCTTCTGCTTGTCGGCACTCCTGGTCAGCGTGTCGGGGGGCGTCGTGTTGTTGTCTGACGGGGAAGGAAGCGGTGAAGTGGCCACGTCTTTGGTCGGGGGAAGAGGCTCGATCACAGAGCGGGTGTATATCTAGTTTACGGGCAGAAGAAGAGAAAGAGCTGCGCGTGAAGGTGGATGGTCCAAAACACTGCATTACGGAAGGGCCGTCAGAAAGGGACTTGAAAACACGCGCCAACGACACGACATTAACGTGGGCTTTGCCACCCTAAGACGTGGCAACAGTCCGTGGCTCAGCATGGATTCTAAAACAAATCCAAAGCAGTTCCTCTAGGGCAGGGGTGGCCAGACTGTGGCTCGGGAGACACACGCGGCTCTTTCACATATATTGTGCCGCTCCCGGCAGGGCAGCTGGGGAAGCGAAGGGGAGGCATACTTTTCCTCCCGCCCTCCCATCTATTTGCTTTCTTTCTTTCTCTCTCTTTCTTTCCTCCTCTTTCATTCTTTCTTTCCACCTCTCTCTCTCTTTTTCTTTCTCTCTCGGACAAATATTAAATCATAGAATGTTAGAGTTGGAAGGGACCTTGCAGGTCATCTAGTCCGACCCCCCGCACTCTGCAGGAGCACAGCCGAAAGATAGCCCTACATACCTACAACATACCTGAAAGACGGTCGTCCAGCCTTCGTTTGAAAACGTCCAGTGAAGGAGCATCCACCACCTCCCGCACTCTGCAGGAGAATGGCCGAAAGAGAGCCCTACAACATACCCTACAACATACTCCGCTTAAAAACGTCCAGCGAAGGAGCATCCACCACCTCCCGAGGCAGACTGTTCCACTGCTCAACCACTCTTATAGTTAGGAAGTCTCTCCTGATATTTAGCCAGTAATGACTCCCTTGTAATTTCCACCCATTAGATCTAGTCTTGCAATCCGGAGCAAGAGAGAATAGATCCGCTCCATCTTCTGCATGACAGCCTTTCAAATAACAATTTGCTAGCAATTCTACATGACAGCCTTTCAAATAACAATTTGCTAACAACTGTCAAATAACAATTTGCTAACAACTGCAAAAAATAAAAACAAAAGGGGTAAAAGCAGAAATTGACAATTATATTTATTTGTCCAATGATATTTATTTGTTTGCTAGCAAACAAATAAATAACATTGGACAAATAAATATAATTACTTACTGCTAGCAAACAAATAAATATCATTGGACAAAATAAATATAATTGTCAATTTCTGCTTCTACCCCTTTTGTTTTTATTTTTGGCAGTCTCATTTAATGTTAAGAAAAAGCAAATGTGCATATTTTTAAATAAAAATGTGTGTGAGATATTTGTTCATGTCTTGTGGCTCTCATACATCTGACGTTTATTCTGTGTCGCTCTTACAGTGAGCAAGTTTGCCCACCCTTGCTCTAGGGCAGGGCTATTTCTGGGCAGGAACGCACAGGAACGGAGTTCCGGCTGGCTTCAGAGTTGGCCACACCCACTACAGCCAAAACCTCTGCATGTGTGGCTACAGAGGGAAGGCCTGGAGATCAACCCCCCCTCCAGCAACTCCGAGGCGGGCAGGCCAGGGGGCCCTGGAAGGATCGGGGCGGCATTTAAATGACTCCCCGCACCTTCCCCGGCCTGTCCAAGGGCCAGCTTGCCCGGGCTCCGCACAGCCGCAGGGCGCCCTGGCAAGCCAAGGAAAGACATGGGGTGTGGCCTATTATGCTAAAAAGCTGTGCTGTCAGGGGTGTGGCCTAATATGCTAATAGGTTTCTGCTGTTGGTTGTGGCCTATTATGCTAATGAGCTCCTGCTGGGCTTTTTCTACAAAAAGAGCCCTGCTCTAGGGGAACTGGTCTCTGTAGTCTGGAGACGAGCTGTAATTCTGGGGGGATCCCCAGGCCCCACCTGGAGGCTGGCATCCCTAGGCAGAGCCCAAGAAATCTGCCTCAAGTTTTGGCTCAGCCATAAAACTTGGCCTGTTCTCACAACTGTCTTTCCCCCCTCCCGGATTGCTCTGTACTTGTGTGGAACTGATCGGCCGCGCCAAAGCTTCGCTGGCTAAGGGTAAGCGAGCACCGGTCAATGGCTGCAACACGACTCACAGATTTCGTGTGCTCGGGCCGAGGGGCGATGACTGGGGGAGGGGCGGCGTCATCCTCATCGTCTTCGTCTTCCGAGACGGGGGGGACCGCAGGTGTTTCCGACACGGTCTTCACATTCTGCAATGGAACATAAGAACATAAGAGGTGCCAATGTTGGATCAGGCCAAAGGCCCATCCAGTCCAACACTCTGTCACACAGTGGCCAAAAATACCAGGTGCCCGTGCAAGGTCCCGCAGGGCCCGGATCTCCTCTGGGAGCTCATTCCACCAAATAGGAGCCGCCACCGAAAAAGCCCCAGCCCTAGTCACTGCTAATCTGGCCTCCTTGGGACCTGGAACTGCCAGGAGATGTTTAGTCCCGGATTGTAGTGCTCATTGGGAACATATGGGGAAAGGCGGTCCCGTAGGTATGTCGGACCCTGGCCATCTAGGGCTTTAAAGGTAAGAACCAGCACTTTGAAGCGAATCCGGTATACTATCGGCAGCCAGTGCAGCGCTTTCAGCACAGGCTGGATGTGTGCCGCCCTAGGAAGGCCCATCAACAGCCTGGCTGCAGCATTCTGCACCAGCTGCAGCTTCCGGATTTGCGACAAAGGCAGCCCCATGTAGAGAGCGTTACAATGGTCTAGCCTCGAGGTGACCGTCACATGGATCACTGTGGCTAGGTCGTCGCGGTCGAGAAAGGGAACCAACTGCCGAGCCAGCCAAAGATGGTAAAAGGCCGCTTTGGCAGTGCCTGCTACCTGGGCCTCCATAGACAATGTGGAGTCCAGGAGCACCCCCAAACTCCTAACCTCCGACGCTGGCACCAAAGGCGCCCCCTCGAAGTTTGGGAGTGGGAGCCCCAACCCCAAACCACATCGACTCAAACCCAGGACCTCCGTCTTTGCCGGGTTTAGCCTCAGCTGACTCAGTCGGAGCCTACCAGCCACGGCTTGCAACGCCCGCTGCAGATCTTCTGGGCTGGAGTCCGACCGGCCGCCCAACATCAGATAGAGCTGGGTGTCATCCGCATATTGATGACACCCAAGCCCAAACCTCCGGGCAATCCGGGCAAGGGGGCGCATGTAGATGTTAAACAACATCGGGGATAATACAGCCCCTTGGGGCAACCCGTATTCAAGGGGGTGTCTCTGGGACTGCTGTTCCCCTATCGCCACCCTTTGTCCCCGACCTTGTAGGAAAGAGGCAAGCCATTGAAGGGCAAGTCCCTGAATCCCTGCGTCGGGGATTCACCCCCACTTCGGGGATACCCCACGGAGGTCCCTGTCCTCCCCAGGCTCCATCCCCAAATCTCCAGGTATTTCCCAACCCAACCTATCTGTAGCCCCGTTGCTTGGCATGTTTCATATTCACAATTACCACGCTAGTTAATTGTCAAGTAGAACAAAGAAGAAGAGATTGAATTTATACCTCGCCCTTCACTTCTTGAAGGAGTCTCAGAGCAGCTCACAATCTCCTTTCCCTTCCCCTCCCCACAGCAGACACTTTGTGAGGTAGGTGGGGCTCTCTTGAGAACTGCCCTTGAGAGGACAGCTCTGAGAGAACTTGTGATGGACCCAAGGTCACACCAGCAGCTGCATGTGGAGGAGAGGGGAATCAAACCCGGTTCTCCCAGATTAGAATCTGTGCACCTAACCACTACACCAAACTAGCTACAAACTGCAGCTATAATCTTTACCGGAAAATGTTACCATAAGAGGCTGTTGGTGTCAAATTAAGTTATTCAGAATAAAAGGGTTTTTGACCTTCTATGGGGGTTTTTGACCTTGTATATTCTGACTGGCCCCACCGATAAGCCTTGTCATTGCAATGGTTTGCATGTATAACTAGGGGTAGGAAGATCTGGGTTCGAGTCTTCACTCTGCCATGAAACTCACTGGGGTGAACTTACGGTTACTCATACTTTCTTAGTCTAAACTACCTAAAAGGATTGTTGTGAGGATAAGGTGAGGGGGGAAAACTGTGTGCGCTATCCCAAACGTCTTAAAAGAAGAATGGGATAAAAATATGCAGCCTCAAGCTTTCCGGTTAGCTAGGTTGGGCCCTACACACAAGGACTGCCAGCCTCCAGGTGGGGCCTGGAGATCTCCTGGAATGACAAATGTTCTCCAGACAACAAAGATTTAAAGAAAATAGCTGCTTCGGAGGGTGGTCTCTGGCATTATACCCCACTGAGGGCCGTCCCCAAACCCTGCTCTCTCCAAGGTCCACCCCCAAAGCTCCAGGAATTTCCCAGCCTGGAGTTGGCAACCTTGCTACACACTGAAGAAGAAGAAGAGATTGGATTTATACCCTGCCCTTCACTACCCAAAGGAGTCTCAGAACAGCTTACAAACTCCTTTCCCTCTCCCTCCCCCTCCCCACAACAGACACCCCTGTGAGGTAGGTGGGGCTGAGAGAGCTCTTGACAGAAACGGCTCTTTTTCAAGGACAGCTCTTGTCAGAACTACGGCTTGCCCAAGGTCATCCAGCCAGGTGCAAGTGGAGGAGTGGGGGAATCAAACCCGGTTCTCCCAGATTAGAGTCCACGCACTTAACCACTACACCGAACTGGAAAGGGTCTAAGGTGCCCACCCCCGCTACCACCCGTTCCCTTGCATCGCCCCACTTTTCCCTCAGTTTGGGAACTATACCTCGGGCCTGCGGTGGGCCCGAAAATGGGTCAAGTGTGTTGCGGTTGCTAGGCAACCAGAAAATCGGCCTGCTGCGGTTCTCCAAGCACGGCAGTGGAATGGCAGGAGGGGGAAAGAGGGTCGTGCTTTGGGAGAAAGTGACACAGAGCAAAACTGAAGAAAAAGTCTGGCCCCGAAAGGCCACGCTGCCAATTTGGGAAGCGGTGCTCATTCTTCCCCTCTCAGCAAACCCTACCAAACCGGGTTCGCTGCTTCTAGGGTTGCCAAGTCCCCCCGGGGGGCGGGAACCCCCCACCCGAGAGGCCCGTTCCCCTGCCAGCAGGGATTGGGCCGCCAGGGGGGACTCCACCCCCAAAGCATGTGATGTGCCTGGTGTGAACACATCACCCGAAGGTGACGCAAGCGCATTGGGCACGTTGCGGGGGGACGCTCTATCATCCGAGGGAAAACTCTACGGTTTCTCCTCAGATGATTGTGTCCCCGCCCCCAACGTGCGCGATGCGACTGCGTCACTTCTGGGTGGCGTGATTGCGGTACGTACGCTTTGCGCGCACACCAGGAGACTCCCAGGGAGATCTAGGACTCCCCCCGCGATTACAAAAGTTGGACTTGGGAACCCTAAAGGGGACAGACGATAGCTGCAAATTAGAACTCGAGCTCCCGGGTTTGATCCTCCTTTAGAAGAAGACGATGACAAGGACAGTTTGTTGGCACACTGGCGCGCTTTTGACGTTTCTAATTAAGAAGGCCCGGGTGGAGGGCCCGTGCCAACCGTTTTCATTCCTCTGTTTATGAAAATGCTCGCTGAGGGCTTTCTTTCAAGCTTGCTTTGTTCACGACGCCCCACTGGCCTCGCCTGCTGCGTGGGGAGACGGTCACGCTCCCTTTACGGCCAGCTAGCCAAATGCCCGTCCCTCTGACAGGTGACACTGGAAATAAGGGTCCCTTCTAGCCACATCTCTGTGTCACAGTGAGCGCATCTGCGTCTTGCACGGACGTGCTGCATCGGTTTGGAAGAACGGCCTGATGTGTGTTCAATTCACGAATGAAACCGGGGGCCAATACATGGATAAATGTGTGGCTTTAAAAAAAATCACACATTCAGCTGTACGTCCGTTGAATGGAACGTAAGAATTACTCAATGCGTGTATAAAGAAAAAATCAAGTGTATGCTGTACATGGATTGTGCGTGACTACGAGACTACAATTGTGGGAAACCTAGGGTGTGTGCTCTCTAAGACACCCTCAGGATTGAAGGAACATACTGGGGAGGAACAGTGTCTATTTAAATTACACCATCTGTAGCCTGCCTTTTCTCCATTTTATCCTCCCAACAAGAAGGAGATTGGATTCATACCCCGCCCTTCACTACCCAAAGGAGTCTCAGAGCGACTCACAAACGCCTTTCCCTTCCCCTCCCCACAACAGACACCCTGTGAGGTAGGTAGGGCTGAGAGAGCTCTGACAGAAACTGCTCTTTTTCAAGAACAGCTGTGCCAGAACTATGGCTTGCCCAAGGTCATCCAGCAGGTGCAAGTGGAGGAGTGGGGAATCAAACCCGGTTCTCCTAGATTAAAGTCTGCGCACTTAACCACTACACCAAACAACCCTGCCGGGCAGAGAGAATTAGACAATGGCCCAAGGCTGCCCCTTGGATTCTATGGATTTAGACTTATTGATAGGGGTATGTTAATTTGTATTATTATTTTATTGATCAATTGATGTGACAGAGTTTGTATTGACACTGTAATTTGGGTATTCATTTGATTGCATTTTCCTTTTTTGTGTGTTTTATGGATTCCTACAGCTGAGCTGAATCAACAAAATTATCAATAACAGAAAAAGGTCACCCCGGTGAAGTTTGTGGCTAAGTGGATTTGAACTCGTATCTCCCCAGTCCTAGGCTATTATTTATTCGCTATGCCGTGCTGGCTCTCCCAAGCTTAAAGTTAGATTCCCCTGAACTAAAGCCAATGTAAAGAAGTCTACATCAGTAACATCAGCCATACCATCTCAGGCTCATACTCCTTCTCATCCTCTAATGCAATTTATGCCATCATGTGTACGCAGTGCCCTTCCACCCTCTACACCGGACAGTCCCTTCGACGAAGAATCAATGGACTTAAGTCTGACATTAGAAACCACAAATTAAAAAAACAGGGGGGGGGGGACATTTTAACCTTCCAGGACATTCAGTTGCTGACCTAAGGGAGATTAGAGAGTCTACTGAGTTGCAACTGATGATGAAGCTCAAGACAAGGCATCCTCCTGGACTGAATCGAGACCTAGGTTTCCTGTCTCATTACCAATGCTAATTTCTCCACACCTACTGCCCCTCTGCATATCACATCTAGTCCAGTCATGCCGGCTATTATCATTTGCCTGTTATTGTCCTTAGACTCCTGAAATTGCTCCACTCTCCAAGATATAAGGACAGATGGACACATTCTAGCTGTATCTGAAGACCGTGAGCAGTGACTA